CGGCAGGGAGTTGACTACTTTCAGACCTTCTCTCCCACCCCGAAGATGACTACTCTTCGGGTGCTGCTGCACATAGCCGCTCAGCGCGACTACGAGCTTCACTCTCTTGACTTCAGCACTGCTTTCCTGCAGGGCAGCCTGCACGAGGAGATCTGGCTGCGCCGCCCACCTGGCTTCACTGGGTCTTTTCCTCCTAGCACCCAGTGGAGCCTCCGGCGGCCAGTTTACGGTCTCCGCCAGGTGCCCCGTGAGTGGCACGACACACTGAGGACTACACTTGCGGCTCTTGGGTTTGCTCCTTCTACTGCCGACCCGTCGCTGTTTCTGCGCACCGACACCTCCTTGCCGCCGTTCTACATCCTCGTGTACGTCGACGACTTAGTCTTTGCCACTGCTGACACTGCTGGACTCGCCCACGTGAAGTCTGAGCTGCAGAAGAGACACATGTGCACTGACCTGGGTGAGCTGCGCAGCTATCTTGGCTTGCAGATCACCCGGGACAGAGCACGCCGCACCATTACCTTGACTCAGTCACACATGGTGCAGCAGGTCCTTCAGCGATTCAACTTCACGTACTCCTCGCCTCAGGCCACTCCTCTGCCTACTCGCCACTCGCTCTCAGCTCTGCCTTCGGATGAGTCCGTAGAGCCGAGTGGCCCGTATCCAGAGCTTGTTGGCTGCCTCATGTACCTGATGACCTGCACTCGACCTGACCTGGCATACCCTCTTAGCATCCTGGCACGCTATGTTGCTCCTGGGAGACACAGACCAGAGCACATGGATGCAGCTAAGAGGGTGTTGCGCTACTTGTGCAGTACGTCGGGCATGGGCCTAGTGCTTGGAGGGCGGAGTTCAGTGGTCCTCACTGGTCACGCAGACGCTTCTTGGGTTGACGACTTGGCTACGCAGCGGTCGTCACAGGGTTACACCTTCAGCCTTGGTTCCGGCTCTGTTTCGTGGCGGTCTACCCGCTCGTCTTCTGTTCTCGGCTCCAGTTGTGAGGCTGAGATCTACGCAGGGGCCATGGCTGCACAGGAATTACGCTGGCTCACCTACCTGCTGACCGACCTTGGAGAGCCGCCTCGTTCTCCTCCAGTTCTGTACGTCGACAACAAGGCCATGCTGGCCTTGTGTCAGGAGCACAGACTGGAGCACAGAACGAAGCACATTGCTCTCCGTTACTTTCTTGCTCGTGAGCTGCAGCAGCGTGGTCAGCTGCGCCTTGCTTACGTGGCCTCTAGGGCCAACACTGCTGATATCTTTACCAAGGCACTTCAGCCTTGTGATCATCAGCGTTTTTATACTATGCTAGGTCTTGTGCCTACTTGGCCTCACTTGCTTACCTCTTGACTTTGCTTGTACTGTGATCTATATATACCTGCCCTGCTTGCTTACCCTTGCTAGGTTGTGATCACTGTCTTGTTTTGTTCACCCTGCTTTATAACCCTGCATGTGAACAGGCGTTGTGGCCTTTGACTTTGTGCTCGGACTGTGTGGTGACGTTATGATCCACCCTGAGCTTGCTTTGCTTTGCTTTGCTTGACTGGTCTTGTGACCCCTTGTTCTCCCCCACTTTGCCTATGGGGGTGTGTCAAACTCATATGCTATAGTCTATCTAGGCTGTAGTGGGGTAGACACTATAGGGTACAACACTTCTAGGTTTCCTACTTGTACCCCCCTTGTTCCCCAGTCAATCCATTCCTTGTTCTTATTCTCACAAACTTCACATTGGTTACATAACTAACAATTAGTGCATCCAATTTTATGGATTTTCATATTTTATTTTAAATGAATAAAAAGTGAAAATGTGAGAAAACAAAAAACTGGCCAAATCGATCGTAATAGGTTGCTTCGCAACCCAAAAAACTTGCACAATATCCCAAGCACAATCGCGAAACATTGGTGCTACGAATGCCCTTTTTAGCACCATAAAAGCACAACGTACAAGCACTCTCCCCCCAATTCATGTTTGTTGTCACACATACATGTTTAGCTGCAGATAATCAAAGCTATTGCTGCATTTATAATATGGTGGCATAATGAAAAGGACTTTGAAGAATTGATGGCAGTTTTAGCTATTAGGTTGCTGTGCAAGCAAAGCAACGCGCCGATTCTGCAAGAACAATTTAACCATGAGGGGAAGGCTAGAAAGCGGAAAATCCTCGAATGGATAGAACGTCTGGACATCATAGCGAAAGCCAAATTTTTAGAGCTCTTCCGCATCGATTTCAGATTCCTGTATTACATCGAAACGGGTCTAGGCTTCGCCTTCTACGACATTGTACACTCCACTGCGTGTGTATTTTAATCATTTGTAATTAATTTCACATCAAGCACATTGCCCAGAAGGGTCTACCATATAATCATCGGTCGTTTCCTCTTAGCCTTCCCGAGGATGTAGAAGTCATTTTGGGTGAGATTTCCTACCCGTGAAGATGATTGTTATCGAGGCGGAGTTCCGTGCGGCAAGGGGTGTACCCAACGTAATTGGTGTCGTTGATGGGTCATACATTCAGGTGCGTGGGATCGAGGACTACCGGTTTGAATATTATTGTCGGAAGCAGATGTATTCGATACAGTTATTGCTTACAGTAGATGCAAAGTGCCGCATTTGGGACTACGTAGTTGGTTATCCCGAGTCTACCCATGATAGTAAGGTGTTCACAAGAATCGCCCTCTATGCAAGAATTTCAAAAGGTGAAGTTGCTCCATATCAACACCTAGGTGACGCAACATATTCGCTAAAAGATTTATGCGTAGTTCCTGTTCACGCAAGCAAAGAAAGGCTCTTAAGTGGATGGGAACATAATTTCAGTCATGTGCAGTCTGCATCACGAATGTCGGTCGAGAGAGCCACGGGCTTATTCCAAAACCGTTGGAGATTCTTAGGCACGATGGCCGTCTCTGGCGCGTGTGTGCCGGCATTGGGTGTGCCGCAGTTCTGCACAACATGCTTCTAGGCAAGCCGAGGGGCGAATTGCGCCCCTAGGCGAGCCGTTTTTCTTGCCCGCATCGCGACCCGAGGCGAGACGTTTTTCCTGCCCGAATCGCGCCCCTAAGCAAGCCGTTTTTCCTGCCCCCTAGGCGTGCAGTTTTTCCTGCCCGAATCGCGCCCCTAGGCCAGCAGATTTTCCTGCCCGAATTGCTCCCCTTGAAGGGCCGTTTTCCCATGCGCTGCCCTGCCCTGCAGCCCGCGCGCCGCCCTGTTTGGAGCTCGCTCGCTGCCCTGCCCTGCAGCTCGCGCGCCGCCCTGCCCTGCAGCCCGCACGCTGCCCTGCACTGCAGCCCGCGCGCCGCCCCGCCCTGCAGCCCGCGTGCCGCCCTGCCCTGCAGCTTGCTCGCTGCCCTGCCCTGCAGCGCACGAGCTGCCCTGCCCTGCTGCTCGCACGCCCTGCAGCCTGCGATTGCCCTGCCCTATAGCCCGCATGCCCTGCCCTGCAGCCTGCGTGCCCTGCAGCCATCGCGCGCCACACTGCAGCCCGCGCTGCCCTGCCCCCCGTGTGCCTGCACTGCTAGCGCCCTGCGCGCCCTGCTGCTAGCGTGCTCTGCTGCACACGCACCCTACTGACCTCTACAGCCACTCCTACAGTCGCTACTGCTGTCGTAGCCACAGCACCAACTCTTACAGCAACTACCGCTGCTGCAACAGCTGCAGCTACAGCACTTGCTACTGACGCCCTTGCGCCGCTGCTACTGACTGCCACTGCCTGTCATGGCCACTATCACCAGCAGCAGCGTGAGCCGGAACCTCTATCGCCGCAGCATCTTTGCGAGTGGGTTATTCGCCGAGGCCGTTCTGGTCCTGGAGCTTGGGATTTCGTAGGTGCTGGAGGTCTCTCGCCGCAGCAGCTTCGCGACTGGGTTTCTCAGCGACGCGTCCCTGGTAGTGCATAGGCTACTAGTCTAGGTGCCTGTGAGCCTGGTAGCACAGGTGCAGCTTCTGTGGAGCCTTTGCACACCTTCATGCTTGACTCAGGCGCGACTCGCTGCTTTTTCCGCGACTGCACCACAGTCACACCGCTCACTGCACCTGTCCCGGTCTCTCTAGCTGACCCCCCTAGGGGGCCATTCATAGCACGTGCCTCCACCGTACTCCCATTTCCGGCAGCCCCCTCAGGCTCCCTCAAAGGTTTCCACCTCCCATCATTCTCTAACATCTTGGTGAGTAACGATGTCCTCCACGACCAGTTTGTCACTGTGACTACTCCTAGGGGTGAGCTTTTGGCGATCTGTACGGACTCACGCACTGGCAAGCACCTCGCCACTTTCACTTGGAGCCCCGGGTCTGGCCTGTACACACTGACCACTGACTCTGCTCAAGTAGTTGCGTCGGGTCAGTTAGCTGCGTCTTATTCGTGTTGGCTACTCATGCACCAGACTCTCCTCTAGCACCACATCTTGGTCACCCACCCCTGTCGCGCCTGCGTGGCAGCACTCTCGTCTCCTTCTTTCTGGCCTCCCTAGGTCCCTGCCCCCGCTTGTTAAAGTTATTTTTAAGATATATCCTGCTTGCTGTAGTTACTGTAGTTATTGTACTTTGCAGTTGGTGGTGCACCTCTTGTTTCCTAGTTTCTCGACTATAATTTGTATGTTTTGCTTTAAGTGAAACCAACTTGTTTGATCAACTCTCGCTACTCCCTTGGCCTTGACTCTCGTTACCCGCTTGGCCTAGCCTTCTAAGCCTAGGCCCCAGTTAAACCCGTTTCCTAGTTACGTCATAGTTGTAACATGGTATTGAGCTATTAAAATCCTGACCTAAGTTAATGGGCCCACCCATTCGCGGCACGGCGCTCGCTGCGATGGGCGCGGCGGCGAGTCGGCCGCGTTTCCTTCGTCGCCAGCCCGTCGTCTTCTTTTTTTTCCCTCGTCGCCTGCTCGTCGCCAGCCCATCGCGTTTTCCCCCGTCGCCAGCCCGTCGCGTTTCCCCCGTCGCCAGCCTGTCGCGTTTCCCTCGTCGTCAGCCCGTCGTGTTTCCCCCCCGTCACCACCTCTGCCCGTGCCTATGCCTGCTGCCGAGTTTGCGCGAGAGTGGGGAAGGGCGGGGGGGCGGCATCGGGAATGAAGGGGACGGCGTCCGTGGCGGTCGTCGCGGCCCTTCCCCCCCCCCCCGTCCCGTTTTCTTCCCTCCCGTCGCCTTGCTCCGCCCGTCGTATTCCCCCGGCCCCCTGCCCGTCACCCCCTCCCCCCCCCCCCGTCGCGACTGTTCGCGTGTGCAGCGGCGGTCGCTGTGGGGGGGAGAGGGAGGAGGGGAAGGGATTGGCGGCGGAACGCTGTGGGGGGGAGAGGGAGGAGGGGAAGGGATTGGCGGCGGAACGCTGTGGGGGGGAGAGGGAAAGGGGGAAGGGAGTGGTGGCGGAATGATGTGGGGGAGAGAGGAAAAGGGGGAAGGGAGTGGCGGCGGAAAACCAGCGTTCACCGCCAGCGCACCGGCGATCGCACCAGCGCTTGCGCGCCTCCTACCGTCAGATCCCGCCCAGCCTATAGCCCGTCTGCAGCTCGTCCCACCCGTCGCGCCCCATCAGCACCAGAACCAGCACCAGCGCCAGCCGCCAGCACCAGGAACCAGCACCTGTGCCAGCCAGCAGCACCAGGAACTAGCACCAGCGCCAGCCGCCAGCACCAGGAACCAACACCAGCGCCAGCCGCCAGCACCAGGAACCAGTACTTGCGCCAGTCGCCAGCACCAGGAACCAGCACCTGCGCCAGCCGCCAGCACCAGGAACCAGCACCTGCGCCAGCCGCCAGCACCAGGAACCAGCACCAGCGCCAGCCGCCAGCACCAGGAACCAGCACCAGCGTCAGCCGCCAGCACCAGGAACCAGCACCAGCGCCAGCCGCCAGCACCAGGAACCAGCATCAGCGCCAGCCGCCAGCACCAGGAACCAGCACCAGCGCCAGCCGCCAGCACCAGGAACTAGCACCAGCGCCAGCCGCCAGCACCAGGCACCAGCACCAGCGCCAGCAGCCCCACCTGTGACCAGCAGCCCCACCTGTGACCAGCAGCCCCACCTGTGACCAGCAGCCCCACCTGTGACCAGCAGCCCCACCTGTGACCAGCAGCCCCACCTGTGACCAGCAGCCCCACCTGTGACCAGCAGCCCCACCTATGACCAGCAGCCCCACCTGTGACCAGCAGCCCCACCTATGACCAGCAGCACCACCTGTGCCTAGCAGCCCCATCTGTGACCAGCAGCCCCACCTGTGCCCAGCAGCCCCACCTGTGAAGGACTGTACAGGGACCAGCGTGGGTTGGGAGAGATATGGAGGAACCCAGTGGGGGAGGGAGTGCGGTTCCAGGGGGCGGCTGAAATGGGGGGTGAGGTTGAGGGCGGGTGGTTGGTTGGGGGTGGGGATGTGGGGGTTAGTAAGAGGGACGCTGCGGCCACCCCCCCACCTCGTCTCCTCATCCCCCACTCAACCCCCCTTTCGTAAAAGGGGGTTAGTAAGAGGGGACGCTGCGGCCACCCCCCCACCTCCTCTCCTCATCCCCCACTCACCTCCTCCTGTGTTCTTATCTCCTCTCCTCTTCTCTCTCCCTCTCGCCTCCTCCTCCTCACGTACCCCTCTGTCGTCTCCCACCGCGCCTGCTATACCCCTTCAGGGGGTGGTAACTGCACTCGTTTCTACTGCAAGCAGGCTAAGGGGGTGTGTTAAAGTTATATTTAAGATATATCCTGCTTGCTGTAGTTACTGTAGTTATTGTACTTTGCAGTTGGTGGTGCACCTCTTGTTTCCTAGTTTCTCGACTATAACTTGTATGTTTTGCTTTTAGTGAAACCAACTTGTTTGGTCAACTCTCGCTACTCCCTTGGCCTTGGCCTTGACTCTCGTTACGTCAGAGTTGTAACACCGCTCCCGCGCTCGCTTGCACCGCCATGCCTTCCCTAGGTTGAGGGGCTGCAGCGTGCCGCTCCTCACTCCTCGTTTTCGCCGACCACTGCTCCTCTGCAGACTCTCCACATGGACGTGTGGGGCCCAGCCCGCGTCCATGGACAGGACCAGGAGCTCTACTTTCTGCTAGTTGTTGACGACTACACGCGCTACACCACGGTCATCAGCTAAACCTCTGGCCCCGTGTCTCTGTGCTAGAGACCTCGCCTACACTGCGTTGGACGGGGGAGGTTGGCGATGCGTCGGCGTTTCGGGTCGGAGGCGCGCTCTCACTTGTCCGCGATACCACCGTGGACAAGCTCTCTCCTTGCACTCTCCACTGTGTCTTCCTTGGCTTCCCCGCCGATGCCCTGCCCTGGCAGTTTTACCACCCTGCCTCGCGCTGGGCCCTGTCCTCACAGGACATCACCATTGACGAGTCGGTCTGCTTCTACCGTCTCCACCCGCGCGCGTCATCCCACCGCCCCTCTTCCTGGTCCTAGGTTCCCCCCCGGTAGACCCCCTCCCCCCACAGGGTCCTGCTCCCTCTGGTGTGTCTCAGGTCGACCCACCCCCCTTGGTTGAGCCTTTGGAGGTCTCCTTTCACACCTCTGGCCCAACTGAGGGGGAAGACCCCGCTGCTGACAACACGGTGACCACTCGCCGCTCCCCGCGCTCAGAGACCCCTCCTGGTTTTCCACTTCGGTCGTCTTCGCCGCCTCCGCAGCTTGTCGTTGTGGACTCTGGTGCTACTGGAGGTGGTGACACTGGGGGTGCAGACTCTGAAGGTATTTGTCCTGGGGTTGCCGACTCTAGAGGTGCTGAGTCTGGGGTGCTTACTCAGGGGGTGCTACGAGTCCGAGTGGTGGTGGAGTCGTTGGTGCTCCTACTTGAGGTCCTGGGGTTGGACAACTGCAGCAGTCTCGTCGATGAGACCCTCTCGCCGCAGCAGCTTCGCGACTGGGTCGTTCAATGGGGCCGGGTTGCTAGAGTTTGGAGTACCGGTCCTAGAGGTATTGGAGCTGGCGGTGCTGCTGGTGCTAGAGCTCCTGGAGCTACTCAAGCTGCTGGTGCTGGAGGTGCTGGAGTTGGAGGTGCTCGAGGTGCTAGAGTTGCTGGTACTAGAGGTGCTGGAGCTGCTGGTGCTGGAGGTACTAGAGCTGCTGGTGCTGGAGGGGCTGGAGCTGGGGGTGCTGGAGGTACTGGAGTTGCTGGTACTCGAAGTGCTGGAGCTGCTAGTGCTGGAGGTGCTGGAGCTACTGGTGCTGGAGGTGCTAGAGCTGCTGAAACTAGAGGTACTAGAGCTGGAGGTGCTGGAGGCACTGGAGCTGCTGGTACTGGAGGTGCTGGAGGTGCTGGTATTGGAGGTACCGGAGCTGCTGGTGCTGGAGGTGCTGGAGCCGGTGGTGTTGGAGGTACTGGAGTTGGAGGTGCTGCAGGTCTTGGAGCTGGAGGTACTGGAGCTGCTGGTGCTGGAGGTGCTAGTACTGGAGGTACTGGAGCTGCTGGTGCTGGAGGTACTAGAGCTGGAGGTGCTGAAGGTACTGGAGCTAGAGGTGCTGCGGGTACTGGCGCTAATGGTACTGCAGGTGCTAGAGCTGGAGGTACTGGAGGTGCTAGAGCTGGTGGTACTGAAGGTGCTGGAGCTGCTGGAGCTGCTGGCGGTACGGGTACTGCGCCGCGCCGACCGTTCTTCTACCCGCAGCCAAAGTCGTCCCTGCCACCGCCTGACTTGGCAATTCGTCAGGTTCTTAATCTTCTGTCTTCCACTGGCCTTACTCCGCCTTTCCTGTGTCCTCCGCCTCTCCTGTGTCCTCCGCCTGACCAGGCCGCAGTTACTGCCAGGCTCTCCACTACCTGCTCCTTCTCCATACCCTGCGTAGACAGGCTCCCTGGCAGAGCGTCATGAACCTGAGTCTCGTCCTCCCTCACATGTTCGCACTGTTAGTCGTTCTCGTCGTCCTCATCCTCCACCTGTACCCGGCACGCAAACTATGACACTTCGTCTGTCCTCTGTTCCACAGCGTGTTGCTCTACCATCTCCTCTAGCTTCCTCTCTTCCTGACGTTCCTGACCGTGAGTCCGACCTTGCACGTGCTGCTAGTCCTATGTCACGCGCTTCTTGGCTACGCTTGTCACTGAATCTTCCTTTGAGTCTACTGCCGTGACTGCCTTAGTCACCGAGCTCGTTGACTTTACTGCTACCTGTCGTCTCGACTACTTCGCGAGTCTTGTTACTAAGTCTAAGTCTGACTGTACTCCATCCGTTGGGGGTGAGCTTGCCCTTGCAACTGACGTCCTTGAGGACAGGCAGTTCGAGCTTGAGTGCCTCGCGACCTTTTTACCTTATCTTGTATCCATGCTACTTTGCTCTGAGGGAGACCCGGATGCACTAGACATCTCTACTTCGCGCTCTTACGCAGAGGCGATTACGGGTGAGTACTCCTCTCAGTGGCAGACAACCATGGACGCAGAGATGGCTTCCTGGAAGTCCACACGCACCTACATCGACGAGGTTCCCCCTCATGGGGCGAACATAGTCGATGGCATGTGGATTTTCAGAGTGAAGCGGCCGCAGGGTTCTCCGCCTGCCTTCAAGACGAGTTACGTTGCTCGAGGCTTCAGTCAGCGACAGGGGGTCGACTTCTTCCAGACCTTCAAGATGACTACTCTTTGGGTGTTGCTATACGTTGCAGCACATCGTGACTACAAGCTGCACTCCCTCGACTTCTCCACAGCTTTCTTCCAAGGCAGCCTTCACAAGGAGATCTGGCTGCGCCGCCCACCTGGCTTCACTAGGTCGTTTCCTGCAGGTACCCAGTGGAGCCTCCGGCGGCCAGTCTACGGTCTCCGCCAGGCGCTCTGCGAGTGGCACGACACATTGAGGACGACACTTGGGGCTCTTGGGTTTTCTCCTTCCTCTGCTGACCCGTCGCTGTTTCTACGCACCGACACTACTCTGCCGCCGTTCTACGTTCTCGTTTATGTCGACGACTTGGAATTGCCGAGACTGAGGCGCTGACCCTTGTAAAGTCGGAGCTGCAGAAGAGACACACTTGCACTGACCTTGGTGAGTTGCGCAGCTATCTTGGCTTGCAGATCACCTGGAACAAAGCAAGGCGCATCATCATTCTGACTCAGTCACACATGGAGCAGCAGGTCCTTCAGCGCTTCGGCTTCCAGTTCTCTTCGCCATAGCGCACTCCTCTGCGTACAAGCCACCCGCTCTCAGCTCCACTTTCGGACGAGTCCGTAGAGCAGAGTGGCCCATATTCAAAGCTTGTGGGCTGCCTCATGTACCTGATGACATGCACACGAACTGACCTCGCGTACACTCTCAGCATCCTTGCTCGCTTCGTCGTGCCCGGGCGACACAGGAAGGAGCACTGGACAGATGCGCAGAGGACACTGCGTTACTTGTTCAGTACATGAGGCATAGTGCTTGTGCTTGGAGGACGGGGTCCAGTGGTACTCACAGGACACTCCAACGCTTCTTGGGTCGACGACCAGGCGATTCAGCGGTCGTCATAGGGCTACTCTTTCAGTCTCGGCTCTGGTTCTGTCTCGTGGAGGTCCACTCGTTCGTCTTCTGTGCTTAGTTCTAGGTGTGAGGCCGAGAACGATGGGGCTATGGCTGCACAGGAGTTATGCTGGCTGACCTACCTGCTGACCGACTTGGGTGAGCGGCCTCGTTCTCCTCTAGTTTTTTACGTCGACAACAAGGCCAGGATTGCCCTGTGTCGAGAGCAGAGACTGGAGCACAGAACAAAGCACATTGCTCTTCGTTACTTTCTTGCTCGAAAGTTGCAGCAACGTGGTCAGCTTCGCCTTTCCTACGTGGCCTCTCAGGCCAACACTGCTGATGTCTTCACCAATGCCCTTGGGTCTGGTAATCATCAGCGTTTCTGCACTGCTCTAGGCCTTTTGCCTACTCTGCCTCACCTGCTGGTTGCTTGACTTTGTCTTGTACTGTGATCTATATATATATCTACCTGCATGCTTGCTCTTGCTAGGTTGTGATTACTGTACTGCTTGTGCTCGTATAACTCTGCATGTGAACTGGCCTTGTGGCCGCTTGCTGTGCTCAGACTGTGTGGTGATCTTGAGATCCACCCTGGGCTTTGCTTGGATCTGATCTCTTCCTTGGCTGGTCTTGTGGCCGTTGGTTGTTCTTGCTATCCCCCACTTTGCCTATGGGGGTGTGTCAAACAGTGTTCTATATCTGTAGGCTGTAATCGGGTAGCCTCTACCGAGTACAACACTTAAGGGTTGCATCCTAGTACTTGTACTCATCCTTGCATCCTAGTCAATCATTCCTGCACGTTATTTCTGACAGTGTCAATGTGCAGGTTTTGGGCGACTGATGTGCACTACCCACCCCCAACCAATCACCTGATGATGCGATTCTTGTTTTAGTGTCCTCTATCAGACAGTCGTCACTCTAGTGTCACCACCGGCAATGTCCCATGTCCTACACCTCTGCACCCAACCACACTGCTAAATGACCCAATGACCCTCGATGTGTCTAGGGTTTCCCACAGCGTACTCCCAACATTTGGGGATTCACACCAGAAGTTCTATGGGTGTCGCGTGGTGTCACATGGTGGGCTCCCGCCATTGGGGGCGACCAGGCTCCCGCATGCGATTTGTCAAAAAGGCGCATGTCGCCATTCCGAGGGTCGCAAAAGCTCGCATGACCCAAGGTGGCGTCTTGTATATTTTAGATCATTCTCGTTTGTCGCATGACCCAAAGTAGCCCAATGATCCAGACTGAGATACGCATACGCCCTTAAAACTCCGTAAGGAAGATGCCACGTGCAAGGTTTCAACATGACACTAGCGAAATCATAGATGCAATGACCCAGATACTTCAGCATCTGACTTGCCGCATGTCAATGGGTCTTCCTCTAGTCCTGGCATCCTCAAGTATGGCTGTTGTGGAACATGTGCATTTTTTGAAAGCTGCCTCCTGTCACAAAGTACCCGACACGACAACGATTGCAAGTTTCCCAATCATACAATACAATTTTCAGCGTATAAAAACACTTCTTATGCAGTACTGCACGGGATAGCATATGGGTCTACAATACATGCGATGGAATATAAATGGTCCTACATGGCCATGTACTTTGAAGGGGTACATTCCCTTGATGATTGCTCAAATACCGCACCACGACTTCATTGGCCAGATGGCTGCCCTTGATATAGCACTAAATTGTCTTCCTCTCTTTGCCCTCATCTGCGCTGGAGACTTTTCGTTACGGAGAGACAATGAAGCTGCTTCACAAATCGCAAATGCAAGGACTGTGAGGGCAGCAGCAGTAAAGAGGCTGAAAGCAACAGCTGTGAGTGTGGATAGGCGAGAAGCAGGCTTGAGAGGAGGGGCAGGAGGGGTCCGGGTGGAAGCAGATGACGGCTGAGGCACTGGCGATGGCGGTGCTGCAGTTAATTTCGATGCTGAAGTTGATTTCGGTGCTGCTGCGGGTGCTGGAGTTGCTGTGGGTGCTGCCCCTGAAGCATGGGACAGAATCACATGCAGTGGCAGACAGACACATACCACTCAACTACCAGCACACAGAAGGTGCATGCACATATGTCATACTTCTACACCCTTGTGCAACACATCTTCTAAAATAACCGAGACATTTAAAGAGCTGTTATGTACAGTAATGTGCATACATATGCACAGCATGCACCTGGGGTTGCAGGCAAGCAAGCATCCACACACAGCAAGGCACAGGCACGTACACTTGAGGGGCGTGCAGGAGGAGCAGAAGGAAAAGCAGACGCGGCAGAAGGAGGAGGCATTGCTCTGCTTCACCCCACACTCGCTGCCGTCTGCCGGACAGGTCAGCCCCGAGCCAGAGATGTTGCTGGCAGTGAGGGGGGTGGAGAGGGGGGAAGGATGCAGATAGGTGAGGTGAAAACGGGAAAGGTAGAGGGGAGGAGGCAGTGTGGCCAGTGCAACATGCTAATGTGCTGATGATTGTGTGATGCATGTGGTGGCCTAGCTTCAAGAAACACAGATCTGGCATGGATAAATAGAGGCATGGGTGCATGGGTGCATGGGTGCATGTGCGCATGGGTGTATGGGTGCAGGGCTCACAAGTAATAGAGGTTGTCAAGCATGCCAAAGACAGGAGGTATGGGACTAGTCAAGTTGTTGCCTCCAAGGCCCCTGCCATTTCATTCCATGCCATGCCATTCCATGCCATGCCATTCCACGTTACACCATGCCATGCAAAGCCAAGCAACCCACCAATGAGTACTTCAGCGAGCACCCTCGCTGCTTCATAGTGCCTGCAAACCATTGGCCCCACAGAGTTGCACAAGGTGAAAGATGGAACAGGCATGTATCGCCCTTCCCAAGCCATGCCCCTCCCCCTCTCCCACCATCCCCCTCCCCCCCACCCCTCTCGTGATTCATTACAGGGACTCTAAGAAGATGAGGAGGGTCGCGGACTCAGACAGAGGGCCGCTGAGCTGGTTGTCGCTGATGTCACTGGAAGAGGGAGAGGGAGTGGGTTGGGGAAGGGAGGGAGGGGGGTGCAAGCACACATGGCATCAGCACGAGATGCACGGCAGCAGCAAAAGATGCACGGAAGAAACATGGGATGCACCGGGAGGGTGGAAGGGATGGGCTTATAGGGCTCTTAGCGAAGGCAGGGTGAAGACGGCAGGGGGCACCACTCCAGTGAACTGATTGTGAGAGATGTCACTGATGGGGTAGGGATGCATTGAGAGAGGGGGAGGAGGGGGGGGGGGGGGGGGAGGGGGGAGGGTGGAGAGGAGGGGGGCGGGAGTTGGTTTAAACCAGCTCTGCCGGCATAAATTACGCCAGAAACATTGAATGTTGTCAAAGCTGTGACACAAAGTTACGCATTCATGCATGCAGGAGGCAGCTCGAAGGCATTGACCGGATGGCTCACAAGCTGTTGACTGTTGTGAGCGTTGTGAGCTGTGCGGGCAGTGTTCCAGATAAGTTTTTGGCCGATAGATTGCTGCGAGGAGACAGCAGAGGCGGTTGAGTGGATCACATAGGCCCGTTGCTTGCTTCTAGGCGAACACAATTCAGAGTATGAGAATGATTCTTGCTGGGTCGAGACATTGGAGATTCAAAAGAATAAAAGGAAGGAAGAATAAAACGAAGAATAAAAAGAAGAAAGAATACGAGGAGGAAGGAATAAAAGAAAGAAAGAAAGAAAGAAAGAAAGAAAGAAAGAAAGAAAGAAAGAAAGAAAGAAAGAAAGAAAGAAAGAAAGAAAGAAAGAAAGGAAGGAAGGAAGGAAGGAAGGAAGGAAGGAAGAAAGAAAGAAAGAAAGAAAGAAAGAAAGAAAGAAAGAAAGAAAGAAAGAAAGAAAGAAAGAAAGAAAGAAAGAAAGAAATAAAGAACAAAACACTTCATGGACCCAGATTTGAAAACGAGATGGGAGATGCACATGTGATAGGAGAGTGCAGGAGACTAGAGTGGGGCTGCAGGGGTGCCCCATGCAGTTGGCCAGTGCGTGCAAGCACCGCATTTGGGTGTGGCACAGCCTGAAATGAGCACGTGCAGTGCGGGGTGTGCGAGGCTGAGATGAGCGTGCAAAAGTGAGAGAGCATGCATGCAGCAGGGGTGGGCATGGCACGTGTGCATGCGTACAGCCTCTTGTATTGCGGTGCAGATAGCATGGCGGAGGGGAAGGGCCCCGTGAAGCTGTTGTTGGATATGTCGCTGCAGAGCGGAGAGAGAGGAGAGGGCAGGCAAGGGGAGGGCGGGAGGGCAGGGGGGCAAGAAAGGAGGACGGGCAGGGAGGGGAGGGCAGGAAGGGTAAGGAAGAAGGTGGGAAGTGAGGGTGGGGAGGGCAAGATGGGTAAGCTGCATGGTGAGTAAGGAGAGAGGAGTAGGGGGGGAAGGAGGAAGGTTGGGAGGATGTTGAGTGTGAGTGTGGGTGCATTGTGAGCTCCATGGGTTGGGGTAGGGTGGGGCTATAGCTTTCACGCAGGGAGTGTCATACTGCATGTATCCAGCATGGAGTGATGGCCATACTGCATGTATCCATCATGGAGCTATTGCCATACTGCATGTATCATACATACAAGCTGCTAGCTCATTGACCGCGTGTGCGTTCGCTTGGCTGTGCGTGGCATGATGTGGCATGACATGAAATGGAATGGCAGGGGCCTTGGAGGCAACAACTTGAGTGGCCCCATACCTGCTGCCTTTGGAAACCTCAACAACTTGATCTCCCTGTGAGTTGTGCTGCATGGCCCAATGTCCCCATGCTCCCATGCTCGCATACACCCATGTCCCCATACCCCCATGCAACCATGTCCCCATACCCCCATACACCCATGTCCCCATACCCCCATACACCCATGTCCCCATACCCCCATACACCCATGTCCCCATACCCCCATGCACCCATGTCCCCATACCCCCATGCACCCATGTCCCCATACCCCCATGCACCCATGTCCCCATACCCCCATGCACCCATGTCCCCATACCCCCATGCACCCATGTCCCCATACCCCCATACACCCATGTCCCCATACCCCCATGCACCCATACGTCTTCAGTATTGGAACTACATGGCCCATCTTGAAGGCTACACAGCTGGGTCTGTGTGCCTTGTAGCCACACCACCCATGCACACGTGCACATGTGCACACCTGCACGCCCTCTTCCGCGTCTCGGACGATTGTCTTTCTGCACATTGCCTTCCCTCCTCTGCCTTTCCTCTCGCGCCTCACGCATCTGCTTATGTGCCCCTTCTCCCCACTCCATCGCTTCCCTGGTCTCTCCTGCCACCTTCAACCCCACCCCCACCCCCAGCAACACCTCTGGCTCGGGGCTGACCTGCCCGGCAGACGGCAGCGAGTGTGTGGCGAAGCAGAGCAACACCTCCTCCTTCTGCCGCCTCTGCTCCTCCTTCTGCTCCTCCTGCACGCCCCTCAAGTGTACGTGCCCCCTTGCTGTGTGTGGATGCTTGCTTGCTTGCATGTGTGCTTGCACGCTCAGGCACATTTTGTGTTAATATATGCACACCACTATAAATTTAGTAGCTCTCTGGATTTTTGTTTGCTTGAGAGGCTCTGTATGACATGGATGTGTCTATATGATGTGCATGATCCAGGGATGTTTATGCATATTATGTGTGCTGGTATTTGATTGCCGTATGTGTCTGTCACTGCATGCGCTTTTGTCCCATGCTCCAGGGGCAGCACTCACAGCAGCTCCAGCACCTGAAGCAGCGCCGGCATCACCAGTGCCTCAGCCACCATCTGCATCCACCCAGACTCCTCCTGCCCCTCCTCCTCCCAAGCCTGCTTCTCGCCTTTCCACGCCCACAGCTGCTGCATTCAGCCTCTTTGCTGCTGCTGCTGCCCTCTCTCTCCTTGCGTCTTCTGTCTAAGAAGAAGCTTCCGTGCATCCACTTCCTCTCTCTTTATGCTTAGTTTTGAGTGGCCTGGTAGTGGTTGTTTTGACTGCTTACATTCCGTAACATTTCTGAAGAATTCCCGCTACACCAGGGCATGAGGAATTCTTCAGAAATGTTACGGGAATTCCTCCTACTGTAGGAGAGGAACTTAAAGCCCGGGTACAGCATGGTAATTTTCAAGTTCAAGATTCTTGAACTTGAAATCGCAAAAAACAGGGTTACCCTACTTGTTTTGAAGAAACTCTCGCAACCCCAGGCAATCGTCCTGCGACAACGGAACCCGAGTGCCCAAAAACATATGCACTGTTCACCACTCACATAACTTGCTTACCAAGTCGTACTCATAGACTAGGAGGCTCCAAGGCAAAAACTAGCGCTAGTTGGCAAAAGCGAGTCGTTGTTCGGGCTTTTTTTTTGTGCGGAAAAAAAAATAGGTATCCACCTCAACCATCTTAGTCAGTGCACGCTCCGATTTCCCCCTCACGTCGCCGGTCTCGTGTTACAACCCGTTCACCCGCAGCACTTACGTTAGTGAACAATCGTCGCGTTACTCGCGCCTTGCTTTCAAGCTCGCGTCGCACAAGATGCTCTTTTCACACTTGCTGCGGTTCAGCCTCGCGTCCCGATTTTACCGTTTTAGGCACGGGTCGCTCACGCGAATGCCGTACAGGTTCGCCAGACGCGCGCTGCCGTTAGTCTCAAATGTTCCCCCTCGTCGGCCGCTCTTTCCCACGTCATACCGCTTTCCTCGTCGCCCGCAATTTCCCTCATCTCCCTCGCCGACCCTCGCCGCCCTCGCCTCTGCTTGTCGCCCGCGCTTCCCGTCGTCGCCCTTGCTTCCCCGTCACCCGTGCTTCCCGTCGTCGCCCTTGCTTCCCCGTCACCCGTGCTTCCCGTCGTCGCCCTTGCTCTCCCGTCACCCGCGCTTCCCGTCGTCGCCCTTGCTTCCCCGTCACCCGCGCTTGTTCTCATCTCTCGCTCTCCTCCTCAACGTCTTCGTTTCCCTCGTCGCCATAACGCCCTCGCTTCTGCCCGTCGCCCTCGCCTCCCCACATACCCGCCTCCATCTCCCCCACATACCACCCGCCTTCCTCCCCACATTCTATTCCGCTTGTCATACGCTCTTCTCCTCTTCCTCCCTTCCATCTCTCCCTCCCTCCCTCTCCCTCTCTCTATCTCTCTTTCTTCGAACCTCTCTCTCACCCTTTCTTCCACCCTTCTTCCTCCTGAGGGGAAGGGACTGAATGAGAGACACAGAGGGGATAGGACAGAAGGGTATGCAGATGTTCTTTTCCCCCACGCGCTTCCCCTCATCGCCCTCACTTCCCCCAAATTGTTGCCCCCTGTCTCTGTTTTTCCCAACCACCCGTTCTCCCACCAGCCCTGCTTCCCCCTTTGCCCTGATTCCTTCCACCCTCTGCCCTGCTCCCCCCCATCCCCTTCCCTGCTTCCCCCCACCCTCTGCCCTGCTCCCCCCATCCCGTTCCCTGCTTCCCCCCACCCTCTACCCTGCTCCCCCCCATCCCCTTCCCTGCTCCCCCCCACCCTCTGCCCTGCTTCCCCTCATCCCATTCCCTGCTTCTCCCCACCCCCTGCCCTGCTTCTCCCCATCCCCTTCCCTGCTTCCCCCCATCCCCTTCCCTGCTTCCCCCCATCCCCTTCCCTGCTTCCCCCCATCCCCTTCCCTGCTTCCCCCCATCCCCTTCCCTGCTTCCCCCCATCCCCTTCCCTGCTTCTCCCCATCCGCTTCCCTGCTTCCCCCCCTCTTTTGCTGCTTCCCCCTACCCTCTGCCCTGCTCCCCCCCATCCCCTTCCCTGCTTCCCCCCATCCCCTTCCCTGCTTCTCCCCATCCCCTTCCCTGCTTCCCCCCATCCCCTTCCCTGCTTCCCCCCATCCCCTTCCCTGCTTCCCCCCATCCCCTTCCCTGCTTCCCCCCATCCCCTTCCCTGCTTCTCCCCATCCGCTTCCCTGCTTCCCCCCCTCTTTTGCTGCTTCCCCCTACCCTCTGCCCTGCTCCCCCCCATCCCCTTCCCTGCTTCCCCCCATCCCCTTCCCTGCTTCTCCCCATCCCCTTCCCTGCTTCCCCCCATCCCCTTCCCTGCTTCCCCCCATCCCCTTCCCTGCTTCCCCCCATCCCCTTCCCTGCTTCCCCCCATCCCCTTCCCTGCTTCTCCCCATCCGCTTCCCTGCTTCCCCCCCTCTTTTGCTGCTTCCCCCTACCCTCTGCCCTGCTCCCCCCCATCCCCTTCCCTGCTTCCCCCCATCCCCTTCCCTGCTTCTCCCCATCCCCTTCCCTGCTTCCCCCCATCCCCTTCCCTGCTTCCCCCCATCCCCTTCCCTGCTTCCCCCCATCCCCTTCCCTGCTTCCCCCCATCCCCTTCCCTGTCTCCGTGTTACCCGTTTCCTTGTCCCTTTTCCCTGTGTCTCCCCACCCTCTGTTTCATTCCTTCACCCTCGCACACCTTACCGCCTGCCGACCTTACCGCCTGCCCACCTTACCACCTCAAATCCTTCCCTTCTCATCCGCGCGCAGGTGTGGCGGAAGGTGCACGTGCTGCCTTGTGCCTGCCGCTTGCTGTCCACGCCTTCCATCCCACCTCTCCCAAACCACGTCTTTTTCTATATGTGCCTCCCCTGCTGGCCCATACCCTCTGCTGATCTGCGCCCTATGAGGCCGTGCCCTCTCTGTTCCCCGCCCCTGCATGTACGGAGGGATTGGGAGCCGCTTTGCCTAGCAGCCAGCACTGTGCAGGCAAGGATTCGAACTGGTGGATCATGGGGCAAGGGTAAGGGAGTGTGTTGTGCGGCATGGTCAGTGCGGAGTGGCGTGGGAGGGAGGCAAAATGGCAAGCACAGGGTGAAGGCAGGCAGGGGCCGTGGCAAAAATATGGAGATTGGCAGTGTCAGCAGGATGTGCGGCAGGATGCTGGCGGCAGCGCACGTCAGGGCATGTGCGGTGGGGCAAGGCTGGTCTGCGCTGCGGTGGGCCGGGGGAGTGCAGATTGGTGCAGGGAAAGGCACGACATGTTCCTATGTGGCCGGCCGAGACCCTTATGAGTTGCGGGATCTGAGCTTGAGAGTGTACGCTTGGAAATGTATTGCTAATGTGTTTCTTGATCTGTAATTTTCATTATTCACAATTTGCTTTTCTATGCCAATTCAGCACTTGAATTTTTTATGTTATTCTGAAGTGATATCTCAAACTTATCCAAATATTTTAGTCGATTAGTAATCACAGGAAATATTGTTCAGTGTACTGCCTCACTCTTACTCGCGTGAGTTTCGCGTTCCCCACCATTTCAACCCCAAGAGAAGCGCAGTGTGCCCCACCAGTGCTGGGGCGGGAGCAGTGCTCTGTCGCACACTGGGTCGTTCGGCCCTCCCATATCCTCGGGGACAGCTGTCGCATAGTATCGTGGCGAAGACTGTTTTTCCCGCCTCCTGAATTCGGTTTCGCCCCACACACATTTTCGAAATTCACGATTTTCAGGTTTTCGCCTAACTGTTTCAACCCCACATAACTTGAAAAAATTACCATGCTGACCTCGGGCTTTAAAGGGAAAATTCAAAGGTTTATCTAGTCTTGCGAAAGTACGTACCTAGTCAGTCATGTACCTGTCTGTATGTAACTTCTAAACCGGTCGTCACTCTAAGAGATACTTACTGGTATGCATTAGGCTGTTGCGTCATGCGAATGGTCACTGGAGAAGTACTATGATAAAACGATGCTATCGAACTGCTGAATTGTTCAAGTTACCGTACTTTGATCTCAACAAAGATCAACCAAAGGTCAACCATCTCCTGTATTTGCATCTCGCTGTGGTGGAGAGTACGCATAGTCTACATATATATGTTATAGCACTGTTGTCACTACTCTGGAATTGTTTGAAATCACTCGAAGGGTATTCCAACAATTATGTGCGCACCCTGTGATTCATGCTAAGGGCACATTCTATTATATCAGAGGGGCAACGGTAACCTAATTCGGGTCAATCACTTCTGGTTGACCATAGTGGAGCTGTTGTTACAGAGGAGGTACATAATTGCAACTAGTGCGTTAGTCTGCGAAGCGCCAGTATGAGTACGACGAAATTATTGATACAGAATTATATGTGCCAGAGCCTGTGGAATTGCTTGCGAATGCTTGACTCCTCGTCGGAATCGCCTTGCCGAGCCGATATGCGAGCGGAGAGAAGCCATTCCCCTTCGAGTGCGTCCCGTCGTGCGAGGCCGTTAGTGGATGCCTAGTGTGCGGTGCGTGGGCTTGCCGAGAACTCGCTACAGCTTCAGCAGATGGCGTCCTTAAAAACCGCTGCTCGGTTTTGCCAGTCATTCTTGAGACGCAATTCACACCTCCTACTCTCAGCTACCGTCGCACGCGGCATCGCGCTCGTTTCGAGAAGTTCCGGCAAGAGTCCTGACTTACCATCACACCTAACGCGCCGTGGTCCCTCGGGACGTCATCATGGCGTTCCTCGCCTACGTGCTGCTACTCGCCGCGGCGCTTCTCTCCCCCGCCGTGACCACCGCCACCGCCACCGCCACGACCCTGGATGGCGACCATAGCAGCAGTGTGGTGACCAAGCCTCTGTCGCGCGTCTCGCCGGATGCCGCATTCGTCGCAGACCTTCGTCGTCCGTCCGTCGTCGCTCGTCGCCTGAGCGGCGGAGTGGCGCGGCCACCCGCGGCGAGCCCGCGGCCCCGCGATGTGAAGCTCGCAGCGCCGCAATGTGAGTCGCCTCGTGCCGACAATATAAACCATCTGCAAAGTGATACTCAGCAAAGTATAAGGAGCTATTCCATAAATATAAGGGCCTTCGAGGGCACGGTTGCCTCACATTCGGATCACTTCTATGATGAGAAAGACCGTCACAGTCGGGTCACATTTGCCTCCTAAAAAGCCTGAGGCTCTTTTGGAATACTATTTGAAATGAGTTCGCAGACTCGTCATGACCAGTTACGGTCGTAACTCCAAAAGGTTCCTCTCCTTCCGCCCTCCCCCACTTCACCTCTCTCTGCCCCCGCTCCCTCCCCCTCCCGCTCCCGTTCCCCCTCCCCTTATCTCCCCTCGCGCTCCCTCCCCTCTCCCTCCCTTTCTCCTCCGCCCACGGCGGCGGCAGTGGCGGCGCTGGTGGCGCTGACGGGGTGGAATGCGACGGCCGAGCTGTGCTCTGAGTGGCCGGGCGTCACGTGCAACCGCCGAGGCATGGTCACCAAGATGTGAGACATGCGCGGGGCTATATGCTGGGCTCTCGAATATGTTGGGCTTTCGAATATTCCATGGTGGACTAAGAATTCTAAGAGAGACTAATCCACTTGTGTGGTGCTGTGCGGTGGAGCAGAGATCTGCAGGAGTATCCCATCTCTGCGTTCACCGCTGCCCCACCGGGAACCCTGCCTGCTGACATCGGTGCCTTCAACGCCCTCCAAGTCCTGTCAGTCCCTCCTTCCACTCCCTTCCGCTCGCCTGCCCTCCCCCCTTCCAGCCTCTCCCTCCCTTCTTCCAATCTATCGCTCACCATATATTATCTTCTCAGAATGATTCCTTTTCCTTGTACCTTGTTGATTGTCATTCTTTCGTCCATTTCTTCGTCCCTTTCTTTCTTGTGTTAAACGGAACCTTCAAGGATTCTCAAACCACCTCCCTGCACCACCTCCTCTCACTAACATCACATATCCTTGCTCGCCTACTCTTCCCCTCCTCATCCCTCCTCCCCCCCCACCCACTCAACCTTTTGAAGCGTGTGCAACACACATTCTAGGCGCCTCAAAAGTACAGTACACTCAATATTTTTCCTTTTACTTCCGTATGGTGCACCTTCCTCCGACCATCCACCGCCTTGTTACTCCTCCTTCCTCATCCGTCTCCTCTCCCCCACCCTTGCCCGTCCCTTCCCCAAACCCGCTCCCCCACACCGCACCTCCTTCTCACCAGGAGGCTTCCCAAGCAGAACCTCTCGGGTCCCATCCCCACAGAGTCTTTTACAAACCTCACCTCCCTTCGTGAACTGTGAGCCCTCTCGTGTCATGGATGCTCCTCCCCCCTGCTCGCTTCTCCTGCTCGCTTCTCCGTCTCGCTTCTCCGTCTCGCTTCTCCGTCTCGCTTCTCCTGCTCGCCATGACCGATCAATCTGCATGCCCCCGTGCTTTCACGCCAAACCTTACTCGCACGTGTGCATGAAGCGCACACTGTGCGTGTAAGCCTCACAATATCCCCTCTCAATCCGCTCACCCCACCGCCTGGCAGTGATCTCTCCTCCAACCCTCTCGACGGCAGCCTGGAGTTTCTCGGCTACCTGCCCTCCTTGCAATACCTGTACGCCCCCGTTCCTCTCGTGAGTGCACGGCTGCTCATCCCAGACATGCTCACACCCCACCTTGTTAATCCCACATGTCATTCCATACTTATCCCACATGTCATTCCATACTTACCCCACACGTCATTCCATACTCATCCCACCTGATTCCGAAGTTGACGCTCAATCTCTTACATCCCACACACACTCACCCTCAAGCAAGCACCCATTTTTCATTGAGTCCCCCATCTGCCCTCCCCACACATACCAGCGATCTGCACGCCACTCAGTCGAATGGGGAGATCCCAGCTGCCCTCGGCAATGCCACCGCCCTCTCGTACCTGTGAGTCACGGCCCATCCTCACTGGTCTGCCCACCCACTCACTCACCAGGTGCGAGGAGAGATGGTGTGTGGATGGAATGGAATGAGAGGAGATGCGTGTGTCACTCGCACCCTTAGAGCTCTCACAACAGTAGATGTGCATCCCAATTGAGATCCCCACATGGGAACGAATGACCGGGTACATCACGGTTTGATGGGAAGTTGCGTGCGTGCGTGCGTGCGTGCGTGCGTGCGCTGGTGCTTCCAGTCCCGCCTACACTCTCGTATCCACGGACCGATGCACTATAATGCCCGTCCCACTAGTGTGTGCTCTTTCACTTCGCTCTTGACTCCACTTTGCTACTCAGCGCTCTCTTTCACCATGATTGCTCTCCTCTCTTCCCCTCCCCTCCTCTCCTCTCTTCCCCTCCCCTCCTCTCCTCTCTTCCCCTCCCCTCCTCTCCTCTCTTCCCCTCCCTCCTCTCCTCTCTTCCCCTCCCCTCCTCTCCTCTCTTCCCCTCCCCTCCTCTCCTCTCTTCCCTCCCTCCTCTCCTCTCTTCCCTCCCTCCTCTCCTCTCTTCCCCTCCCCTCCTCTCCTCTCTTCCCCTCCCCTCCTCTCCTCTCTTCCCCCTCCCCTCCTCTCCTCTCTTCCCCTCCCCTCCTCTCCTCTCTTCCCCTCCCCTCCTCTCCTCTCTTCCCCTCCCCTCCTCTCCTCTCTTCCCCTCCCCTCCTCTCCTCTCTTCCCCTCCCCTCCTCTCCTCTCTTCCCTCCCCTCCTCTCCTCTCTTCCCCTCCCCTCCTCTCCTCTCTTCCCCTCCCCTCCTCTCCTCTCTTCCCCTCACCCTCCTCTCTCTCTTCCCCTCCCCTCCTCTCCTCTCTTCCCCTCCCTCCTCTCCTCTCTTCCCCTCCCCTCCTCTCCTCTCTTCCCCTCCCCTCCTCTCCTCTCTTCCCCTCCCCTCCTCTCCTCTCTTCCCCTCCCCTCCTCTCCTCTCTTCCCCTCCCCTCCTCTCCTCTCTTCCCCTCCCCTCCTCTCCTCTCTTCCCCTCCCCTCCTCTCCTCTCTCTTCCCCTCCCCCTCCTCTCCTCTCTTCCCCTCACCTCCTCTCCTCTCTTCCCCTCCCCTCCTCTCCTCTCTCCCCCCCCTCCTCTCCTCTCTTCCCTCCCCTCCTCTCCTCTCTTTCCCCTCCCCTCCTCTCCTCTCTTCCCCTCCCCTCCTCTCCTCTCTTCCCCTCCCCTCCTCTCCTCTCTTCCCCTCCCCTCCTCTCCTCTCTTCCCCTCCCCTCCTCTCCTCTCTTCCCCTCCCCTCCTCTCCTCTCTTCCCCTCCCCTCCTCTCCTCTCTTCCCCTCCCCTCCTCTCCTCTCTTCCCCTCCCCTCCTCTCCTCTCTTCCCCTCCCTCCCTCCTCTCTCTCTTCCCCTCCCCTCCTCTCCTCTCTTCCCCTCCCCTCCTCTCCTCTCTTCCCCTCCCCTCCTCTCCTCTCTTCCCCTCCCCTCCTCTCCTCTCCTCTCCTCTCCTCTGCTCTCCTCTCCTCTCCTCTCCTCTGCTCTCCTCTCCTCTCCTCTCCTCTCCTCTCCTCTCCTCTCCTCTCCTCCTCTCATCCTCTCCTCTCCTCTCCTCTCCTCTCCTCTCCTCTCCTCTCCTCTCCTCTCTTCTCCTCTCCTCTCCTCCCCTCCTCTCGTCTCCTCTCCTCAAATCCTCTTCGCTCCTCTCCTCTCCACTCCTCTCGATTCCTCTCCTTCCCTCCTCTTGTCTCCCCTCCTCCCCTCCCGTCGTCTCCTCTCCTCTCGTCCCTTCCTCTCCTCTCCTCTCCTCCCCTCCTCGTTTCTCCTCTCCCGCAGTATGTGCTTGTGTGCCCCATGTCGCTCTTCTTCTCTTCCTTCCTCCCATCTGCACACCAGATCCTTTGCGAACCTTGTGAACTGTGAGCCCTGTCGTGCCATGGATGCTCGTTTCTCCTGCTAGCTTCTCCTGCTTGGTTCTCCTGCTCGTCCCCCCTGCTCGTCCCCCCTGCTCGTTCCCCCTGCTCCTTCCTCCTGCTCCTTCCTCCTGCTCCTTCCTCCTGCTCCTTCCTCCTGCTCCTTCCTCCTGCTCCTTCCTCCTGCTCCTTCCTCCTGCTCCTTCCTCCTGCTCCTTCCTCCTGCTCCTTCCTCCTGCTCCTTCCTCCTGCTCGTTCCTCCTGCTCCTTCCTCCTGCTCCTTCCTCCTGCTCCTTCCTCCTGCTCCTTCCTCCTGCTCCTTCCTCCTGCTCCTTCCTCCTGCTCGTTCCCTCTGCTCGCATCTCCTGCAACATGACCGATCAATCCGCATGCCCCACTGCTTTCACGCCAAACCTTACTCACACGTGCACATGAAGCCCACACTGTGCGATTAAGCCTAGATCGACTTCTAAGTACCACAGCTCACTCGAACTATGTCCGAGGATCTGATAATTCGTGCGTGCGCACGAAGCCCACGCTGTGTGTGCTCACCTCACCTCACCTCACCTCACCTCACCTCACCTCACCTCACCTCACCTCACCTCACCTCACCTCACCTCACCTCACCTCACCTCACCTCGCCTCGCCTCGCCTCGCCCTCATATCGCCTCAATCTTCTCATCTCACCGCCCGTTCATCCTCTCACCCACTCCCCCTGCAGCGATCTCTCCTCCAATGCTTTGAACGGCAGCCTGGGGATTCTTGCCTTCCTGCCGTCCTTGCAATACCTGTACGCCACCGTTCCTCTCGTGAGTGCAAGGTTGCTCATCCCAGACATGCTCACATCACCCCCCACCTTGTTCATCCCACATGTCATTCCATACTTATTCCACCTATTCCCATGTTGCCGCTCAACCGCCTACGTCCCACACACACTCACCCCCAAGCAAGCACCCAATTTGAACACCCTTATGTCCTCCCCCCCCCACACACGGCAGCGATCTGCACGCCACTGAGCTGACTGGGGAGATCCCCGCCGCCCTCGGCAATGCCACCGCCCTCTCATACCTGTGAGTCACGGCCTTCCCTCCCTGCTCTGCCCACGCACTCACTTACTGGAGCGTCCACCATAATGCGTTTTCAATGCTTGTGTGCCCCATGTCGCTGTTCGTCAGCCATGTGGACTGGGTGAGCTGCAGTCGGGAAAGTCACTTTACTGTCTTTCGTTTTCAGTGCTTGTGTGCCCCATGTCGCTGCTCGTCTGTGCGAGGGACAAATGTTGCAGTGTATGTTTTTTGAGAATTCTAAAAAAACCTACATTCCACCATAATGTGTACTCAGTGCCTGTGTGCCCCATGTCGCTGTTCGTCTCTTCCTACCTCCCATGCGTCATACCAAATCCTTTTGGAACTCTTGTTTCCTCCTCCCTTCCCTCCCCCCCCCCCCCCCACAACCAGGTCCCTTGGAGGTCTCAACCTCACAGCAGGGCAGCTCCCTGCCTCTCTCTCCGCCCTCACTAATCTCACTTACCTGTAAGCAAACAGGCCGTGGTGTACGTGCATCAAGAGTGCTCCCATGAGTACTCCTCTCGTCACACTCATCTGGAGGAGGGGGGGGGGGGGGGGGGGGAGGGAGTCCTACTTGGTAGTAGAGTAGGCAGTGGTGGCATTATGTGCCTGACTTGAGTAGGTAAGAGGAAACAGCATCCGGGGGAGTTTCTCATACATGCTGTTTCTTTCGCAAGCTTGTCACTGGTTCAAGTTGCTAGGTTTGAGTGTGCGTGCAAGCATTGCCACCTGAGCCTTTTCTCGCCCGATGTTACTGCGCCCGTTCCTGCCATCCCCCCCCTGTGGAGTGGAGCAGTGACCTGAGCTATCTCAAGTTCACCAGCTTGCCATCGTGGATCGCACGACTTCCCAAGCTGCAGTTCCTGTAATTACTACCGCCAACCCTGCTGTCCCCATCCATCCATCATCTCTTGGCTTTTGACCAGTGGTACTCCTATGTTGCTGTTATGTTACTCTAGCACTACTCCTATGCTTCTCTAGCAATCTCACGTTTCTCTCACTTTTTTTTCACGTTGCTGTTCGTGTTAGTACTATTGCACTGCACCACCCACCATGCCCTCTCCTCGCCCCCCACCATGCTCCCACCTCTGCAGGGATGTGACAGCACCCATTGACCTCACCCCCGCCCGCTCCTCGCCCTTTCCAGCCGACTTTACGAATCTCACCAGCCTGAACACCCTGTGAGCTGCTGCCTGCTGCGCGTGTCCCACCGGGCCATGTAGAGGCCCAGAGAAAGATACACTCAAGTGGCCTTTTTCACAAACCCAGGCCATGCTCCGCAGTGGCCAGCCTCATTAGGCTGGGTTGAATCGCATCAAAGATACACTCAAGTGGCCTCTTTCACAACCCCTTTGCCACTTGTGTGTTTGTCTCGTAGCATTCCACATTCCAGCGCCCACTCGTGCACGAACCGTGCTGTTCTGTTCTGCTCTGCCCTACTGCGTGCATGCTCTCTCCCTGCTCGCAGGAGGGCAGCGGTCAACGGCCTCTCTGGCTCCCTCCCCGCCACCATCACAGCCCTCACCAACCTCTCAGAGCTGTACGCCTCCCCTCACTCCTTTGGCTGCCTTTCGAGCCTTTGGCTGTGGCTTTGTAGCACGGGGGCTGCGAGTGGCATCCCCTGCCTGTTCCTGAGATGGCAGCAGATGGATTCCAAGTCAGCCATTTCATGCCTCCTGCCTGTTCCTGAGTTTTTTTACACGCAGACTCGTGCCCTGCCCCCTGACTATCTCCCGCCTTGCTACAGCAGCACCCCAATGTGCCTCGCCGCGTTGCTACAGCAGTGTCCTTGTTCACTGCCTTGTCCTTGCTCTGAAACCTCAACAGTGGAGATCCTGTCTGTATGTCTGTCCACCCGCCTCCTGCCTGCCTGCCTGCCTGCAGTGATCTCGCGTATAACAGACTCACTGGCCCCCTCCCTGCCCTCCCCTCCACTCTGCTTCGTCTGTGAGTCAAGGACGGGGGAAGGCTGGGAGATATTAAAAGACAAGAGGAGAGGGGCGGAGGGGTGGGAGAGAATGGAAGAGAAGAGAAGCGGAGTGTGAACAAGGGGCTACGTGGACGAGGAGAAGGGGGGAGAGGAGGGGAATGGCTTGTTGATAGATGCTGGGTACTGCTTCCATGTGCTGCCCCCATTGATTTCCCCCTTGCGTTGCCCCCCATTTCCCCCGTTGCTCTGGTCAGCTCGCTGAGCCACAACGCCCTGGAGGGCCCCATCCCCTCTTTTGCTGCACCGGGACTCCAAGACTTGTGAGATGACATGCATACATGGGCGTCAGGTGACAGGGGCATGTTGCACCATCACTTCTTTCCTATCCCTCTGGCATTCATCCACTCTTTTCTCACCCTCCCTCCCTGCAGATCATAACTTGGCCGTTTCTTCCTTCCCCTCCCCCAATCGCCCAATCCCCCCCTTTATCTCTCCCTCCCGGCAGGGATCTGAGCCACAACCGGCTGACAGGGCCCCTCCCAGCATCCTTCACAGCCCTCACTTCCCTCACCACCGTGTGAGTCCGCATCAGCACACATCTCCCCTCTCCCATCTCCCCTCTCCCATCTCCCCTCTCCCATCTCCCATCTCCCCTCTCCCATCTCCCATCTCCCATCTCCCATCTCCCATCTCCCCTCTCCCATCTCCCTCTCCCATCTCCCATCTCCCATCTCCCATCTCCCATCTCCCATCTCCCCTCTCCATCTCCCTCTCCCATCTCCCCTCTCCCATCTCCCATCTCCCATCTCCCATCTCCCATCTCCCCTCTCCCCTCTCCCCTCTCCCATCTCCCATCTCCCATCTCCCATCTCCCCTCTCCCATCTCCCATCTCCCCTCTCCCATCTCCCATCTCCCATCTCCCATCTCCCATCTCCCTCTCCCATCTCCCATCTCCCATCTCCCCTCTCCCATCTCCCCTCTCCCATCTCCCATCTCCCC